AAACCTTAAACCCTTAACCCTTAACTCTTGGGCCTCATTGTAGCAGGCCACATCTGGGCCAAGGTCAGCTCGATGAGCACGATCGAGCCAAGCCTGCAAAGCGCGACCAGCACCGCACCAATATTTGGGAGGTTGCCAAAATTAGGGGTCTCTATACGGGTTACGGGTTATGTGGGTTTAGGGTTTTTTTTGGGGGGTTTAGGGTTTAAGGATTAGGGTTTATGGTGCATGCCCCGTTTGAAAGGGATGTGGGGGGGTATGTTGGGATAATATCCGGATTTGAGGGTTTCCCAAAATACCTTTTTGGGGGTATTTATAGTAAGGACTATAGTATCATGGGCTCTATATTGAGAACCCCCCCCTTTCTTGGGAAACTGCTATTTAAGCATCGGTCCATGCGCCGCCCAGAGCAATCTGGAAAGTAATGCCCAAATACCCCCAATAATGGAGAACTGATTGGAAAAGAAAATGGAGCATGAAATGGAAACTGGATGTATACAAGGGTTTATAACGATTAGTTATGTGAACCATAGTCTAGTCTGCTAGCATCCCCCTTACTATGCCCTAGAAAGCTCCCCAGTACAATTCTCTATATAACCCCCCCCTTGAAGGAGGTTAAACCCCAAACCCTATACAATCCCCTATATAACCCCCCTTTAAGGAGCTCAGACTATAACCCTAAAGCCTAAACCCTATAGTACATGCAATATAGAGGCCACACCCCGCCTCGGATGCTTCTGCCTGGCCTTCTGCTGCTCGATGGTAGGACCTTTACTCATCCAGGATGCTGGTTATCAGTAGAGAATAAGGGAATACGGGTATATCAGAGTACATTGTAGTATATTCGAGTATATCATAGTATATCATAGTATATTATATAGTATATTATAGTGTAATATGATATGTTATGGGTATACTATGGGTATATTATAGAACATAACATATGTTCCCTTATTTCCTACTACCCCTAAACCCTAAACCCAATAATACATCCCCTCAATATCCTCATTCCCTACTACGAGCCAGTAAGCCTACGAAAGTAACCGGGCCCTTTGCATCAAGCGAAACGGCGCCAGTTCCAGCTCTGCACCCTAGAGGTCAACACGATGCAACACTGGTTTTGCGCGTCATCTCCAAGGCCTTCAGTCGTGACAGCCAGTATTCCACCCCGGTCTCATTGTTGCTCAAGGCCTGCAACATTCAGGACTCAGGACTACCCTAAACCCTAAACCCTAAACCCTGTTGGGGCGTATATACCCCCAATATAACCCCAATATAACCCATATAGAACCCATTATAATAGCTTCGATTCTCTTTTCCATTACCCCAATATATCCCCTATATAGCCCCTATACTGCCCCTATATAACCCCTATAGGACTCAGGACTTTTCGGGCGAACTTGTCATGCCAATGTCTCACCCGTTTTCTCGCCTGGCCATGGCACAAGGCTCGGTAGATGTCCTCGGAAATTGCCGGCTGAGCATGGCGTGGCGCAGACTGCGCTACTATAATAGTAATTTCCATGTTCTTTTCCATTTTCTTTTCCATTATCCCAATATTATCCCAATATAACCCCCATACCTAAATAGTAGTTTCCATTTTGTTTTCCATTATCCCAATATAACCCTAATATAACCCCTATATAACCCCAATATAATATTTGGGCCAATGTCTGAAAGCATCCAGGCGGCAGGAGTGGGTTCCAGTCCACAGTCGGCCTTGCGCTTTCTTTGTGTCCACTCAAAAGGCTCCTCACTGTTTCCTCACATTGAAAGCTCGGCACCATGGTGTCCACGAGTGCTGAAGCTTTGTCCAGTAGGCCTCCTGCGCCTGACTGCAGCTAAGGAGGACATGCTTAACAATGCAACTCGGCATGAGCTCAGCTGCGCACAGCATTGCATGATGACAGTGTGAAAGGCAGCAGCCTGCCATAACTGGAAAGAAGAAGCCAACTAAATCAGGCAATGCAGTCCACTTTAGACTTTACGTTGGGCCCCAGTAGGATTATATGAAATTGATTCTTTACACGAAATGCTATCCACATACGGATTATGTGATCTTATTCTAGATTGGGCCGTAATGTCCCCCGATTGTGTACTACTCATGTTTTCCTCGCCTCGGGCTGCAGGCGGAGCGTTCGCGCACACTGGAGACATTCTGCAGCAGACCCTGGATCCTGCGATTTAGGGCTCAGGGTTTAGGTTTTCGTGTTTAGGATGACGACAAAGACATGGCAACGTCGGCTTCGTAATAGCAATGATACTGACAATTCAACATTAGCAGTCGTAATACGAAAACAACAGCAGCAACAGCAACCAGCAACAACCACAACCACCACGCCAACGCCAACTCCAATAAGAAGAAGAAGAAGAGATACGAAAGTAAAAGGCCACCTCCTTGAAGCCGCGGATGGCATCCTGCGGCGGCAGCGATGATACACAAAACCGGTCAGGGACATTGTGGGTACCTTATGAGGGGTCCCCATAATGAGGAATATAGCAATTTCGTGTCTACATTAGGTTCCCCCATTTATGTAAAAGCTGATCCATTCCAGGGGCTTCTAGAACGAAGAAAAGGCAAAGAATGAGGAGGTCGTCTAGCTCAACAACAATCCGTCGTCAAGAAATGAGCCATAGTCTAAACTCCGAGTATCCCCCTTAATAACTCCTATAGTACCCTGCTGTATAATCCCCTACATAACCCCGTTAAGGAGTTTTCACTGTAGTTCATTAAAATTCACAGACTGCCCCACTAATCAGTTGACAGCTAGCTGCTGAGCTGAATGGAGCCGATTGGTAGAGGCATGTAGAGGCACTACACATGCCACCAGCCCAACTCCAGCTGTCCCCATGTCCTGAAAGACCTTGACCTGCACCTGCAACCGAGATTGGCATGCCTCGGACCGATCACAATCTACCTACATACAACGAAAGTTCTGGCCTTTCTAGTATGAATGGCAACCGAAGGGGGCTTACGTTGCACAAAGAGAAGAGGGCTACAACAGATGATGGTCAGAAGCTACAGCTCTGTACTAGAGCAGGTTTGGGGGGGCCTATAGAAATTGTTTTTTATGGCTTTACAAGGATTAGATAGGGCATACGGGTAACATGATCAATAGTCATTTTCAAACCTACCCCTCTGTAGAGGCTGAGAGGGTGAAGCTCAGATGTTGCATCGTGCGTCTCAGAAGTGTATCCTTGCCGTATCCTGCGCGACGGGATCTACAGCACCAATGCCTAATGTTGGGGGTTTCCCAAGATGGGGGGTCCTTTTGAAGGGGATAGAGGGTTATAGTACATTGGGGTCTGTATTGGGGTCCCCTATTTTGGAAAACTACCACATCTCTGCTACAAAAAAATTGCGTTCCACTGTTACCGTACTCAGCGAGGTCCACCACCCGGTGCACGTGGAATTTGATTTTAATTTGTACGTAACACTCATGAAACTTTAAGCCCTAAATGCTAAATAGTAGTTTCCATGTTGTTTTCCATTATCCCTATATAACCCCAATATATACCCCTAAACCCATAACCCCAATATAACCCTCGCCACCACTCCCGGGCATCAGGCTCTAGCTTCATCAAGCAAGTCTGAGGCACCTACTCGTTGAAGATAGAGCAATGCGTTTCGTCCATCTAGGGAGCCTGCAAGTCCGCGAATTTGCGTGATTTGTGCCAACTTCTGCCTCAGGTTTAGGGTTTAGGGTTTAGGGTTTAGGGTTTAGGGTTCAGGGTTTAGGGCTTAGGGTTTAGGGTTTAGGGGCAGCATGAACAGTGAATTCTTGGCACCCAACCTTCCCAAAGACCAACTTGCCGCATGTAGGAAACCTTGGCAGTTAGCTCCCACAAGGCCCAAGAAATCGTCAAGCTTCAGGAGGAAGGATCATCGGGGTTACGGCCGTTGACCACCATTTCTTGTGGCCTGGAAGCAAGGCAGGCACACAGGTTTCTCAGCTCCCTGGAAGCAAGTTGGGTTACATCGCGGAGCTGACGCGGCTTTACAGGATCTATCTCCAAATTCAAGTAGAGGCCCCCAGCACAATATGGCCTCTACTACAGAGTCCGAAAGATAGAGCTGTTAAATTGAGAGAACCCCCATTGCACGCATAACTTGCCACTTTGGCTCACCTTCTGCATCCAGGTCCTTCTCTCGCGGACCGACCTGACAAAGAACATCAACTGCATTGCGTCTATCATTGGGGACTATTACCAGGGTCAGTAAGGGGGATACTAGGAGTTTAGACTATACCTCACATGAGAACCTGCCGACAGGCTGAGTTGCTGACATCTCGTTGGCCCTGGTGCAGATCTACCTCGATAATTGAGGCTCAATTAGGACGACAACCAACAGTTCCAAGCCCCGGAACACACCCACCTTCAAAGCCCTAAACCCTATACCTGCTACCTCATAAGGGATGCGCAATTTGTTCATGGCCATGGATTCTCCTTGTAGTGTGAGATTTTTTTGCTTGCAGGGAACTCTGGTGGCTGTCACAATATGGAAATCAATAGGGTTTAGGGTTCAACAAATAGACTACTCCACCAAACCCTAACCATGTTGAGGGTTTAGGGTTTAGGGTCTGCGGATTTCCTCCAATCAGTTCACTTGTGCGCAGGGCGTCACCATGGATTCATTTGCATCTGCAAGGGTTTATTCTTACTATTCTCATTATCACTATTAGTATAACTAATAACATTACGATTCTGACTATTATTGCTACTATTACTCTTATTCCTATTCTTCCTATTATTATTGTTATTATTATTGTTTCCATTATTCTTACAAGTGCTATTCGTATCACTATTACGACGATTATTCTTACAAGCATTACCACAATCACCATTTGGGGCTGAAACCCTAAACCCTAAACCCTAGACCCTAAACCTCCCAACAAGGCCCAACTTGGCGCAAGACGGCAGTAAAGGCTGCCAGATCCAGCTCCAGGTTCATCTCCAGCGCCTTAGACAGGGTTTAGGGTTTAGGGTTTAGGGGAGGGCTCAACTGGGTTGCTGTTAAGGAAGTTGATTCAAGTTAGAGTACCATAAGATCAGTCTATAGGGTCTATAGTCACCATAATGTGCGTCTATAGCTACTCTGTTATGGGCGTACGGCAAATAGGGTTTCCTTATTGTAGCAACTTCATATAAAATCCTTAACGGCAACCCAGTCAAAGACATGCCTCTGGCAAACATCTGGGATGCGAACCACTGTCATCCAGCTTACAGCCTGTAAGCTGGTGAGCATGACGATACCATCACCAGTCTAGCCCGGCCCCATTGCAAATGCCGTGAGTGTTGGCTGTTGCGCATGATTCGCCTCTCTCATAAGGCGAGCGTTGGCAAAAGCCACGATGAGCTCGCTGTAAGTGCTTGGATCGGGAGCCTCACATGAAGTCGGCAGACAACAAGCCTCACTCGAAACCCTATATAATCCCCTCTTATAGCCCATTATAGTAGTTTCCATTTTCTTTTCAATTCTCCCTGTGTAGCCCCTAATATAACCCCAATATAACCCCCATATGTGATCAGAGTCCCCGCCACGCCTGATGACACTTCTGACACGTGTTCAGAAGCCAGGCTGCCTGCAAGTTCTTAGCTTGTAGTGGCTGCGGGGTCTTCCACTATAAGTATTATTATTCCTACTATTGTTATTATTACTATTACTATTATTACCAATCTGGTAATTACTTTTCATGTTACTATTGTTATTGCTATTATCATTATTTCTATTATTATAATGGAGTGGTTGCAAAATGAAAACTCCTAGATTATAATAGGGTATACATGGAGAATATATAGGGATAACGGAAAAAATGGAAACCACTAGATTATACTAGGGTATATATGGGGATTATGTAGGGATAATGGAAATGGAAATGGAAACCACTACATGAAAATAGGGTGTATATATAGGCCCGCGAGAGGCACGCATCATGCAAGATGAGCCTGATGCAGGTTCCCATTGCGGATCTCCCTTCTGGCTATCTGAAGGAGCGTTGGAGGTCGCCGCGGACTGTGGGCCTGCAGAGTCTAGTGACTGTCAAGAGCCTACGGGCCTACTGCCTGTATAATCCCGATGTAATACCCTGTTATTATGTAGTAGTTTCCATTTTCTTTTCCATTATCCCTATCTAAGCCTATCTAATCCCCACCTCTACCCTATTGTAATGTAGTAGTTTCCATTTTCTTTTCCATAATCCCTATATATTCCCTATATATACCCTGTTATAATGTAGTAGTACCATATTCTTTCCCATTATCCCTACATAATCTTAGTTGCAGGCCGGAGCTTGGCAAGTGCCTGGACCTCTCAGATGGGTTGAGGGCTTAAGGTTTAGGGCTTAGGGTTTAGCGTTTAAGGTTTCGGGTTAAGTCTAAGAGCAAAGCATAAAGAGCAAAAGCCGGTCAAAGAACGCTAAAGCCATGCTGCATGTTTGCTGTTAAGGAACTCAAATTAAATTGCCACAACAAGGAAACGCAAAGATCTATTATATACCCATAGTTAATGTAACTTACATGGAGTTCTTGTACATCAAACTTGGGTCATTCCCCCACCCAGTAACTGTCCTTAAAGGGGGCCTTATTAAGGGGCTATTATATTTCCTGTTACCCCTTAGCTGTTACTGTAAGGGGGAATAACCCAACATCAAACCAGTTTTCCCCAAGCAGAGCACGCAAAAACCTCCACAAGAGCTATAGTCTAAACTCCTAGTATCCCCCTTAATAAGCCCTATAAATAGTCCCCTATAGAATCCCCTATAGAACCCCCCCTTTAAGGAGTTTAGACGATAGCTCACAAAGCAATTCGACGTTGGCGTGTGAGATTCGGAGACTGGCTCTCGTCAGACCCGCTCCGAGTCCACAGGATCAAACGATTCCTGGTTTAGGGTTTAGGGTTTGGGTTTAGAGTTTAGAGGTTTAAGGTTTAGGGTTTAGGGGTTTAGAGGTTTAGGGTTAGGGTTTAGGGGTTTAGGTTTAGGGGTTTAGGGTTTAGGGGTTGAGAACCTAAATGGGGGTTTCCTAAAATTAGGGGTGCCATTTTCCCATAATAAGGACTATAGCATTTGGGGGTCTATATTGGGGTTCCCCTATTTTGGGAAACTACCAAATTAAGTTACCATAATGTGGGTCTATGGTAGATAATAGGGCTTCCTTCTAATGGTGAATTACTTTAA